CTCTACTAAATCTCTTTACAAATACCTATGAGGATCGGTCCACAATTGACTCTACTCCCCATATAAGTTTAACGCTCACTACTAGCTTAAAAATATGAGTATAGCGCTGAAATTAGTTATAAGTAAATTTCTTACGAGCACAAATCTCTCTACCGAATTTTATGAGAATCGGTCCATAATTGACCCCACCCCTCATATATGGTCCCCTCGCCCGAAAAACAGCTTTAACAGTCATAACTGTTTTAAAAATGCGAGTATAGCGATGAAATTCGACATAAATAAGTTTTATGTGAGCCCAATTCTTTCTACCAAATTTTATGAAGATCTGTCCATAATTTACCCCACCGCTCATATATGTATGATCCCCTCCAAAAAATGACATAAGACTGGCTTATAAGTATGTTTCTTACGAGTAAAAATCTTTCTACCGAATTTTATGAGGATCGGTCCATAATATACCCTACCCCCCATATAAGGTTAATAGTCGAATATATCTTACTTCTTTAAAATATGTAAAAATACAAAAATAAACAAAATTTCTGTAACTTAAATAGTGCACTTCATGATATTTCAATGCAAATAACAGTTTTTGCAACAAATTGTTTATGGAAAAATTATAATTTTAAATTAAAATTTTTAATAATAAATTTTCAAATAGCACCATCTGTTGGCCACTACTGACATTATAATTAGAAATTAGTTTAGCCTCGATTAAAACCTTTTGTCTTAACCCCCTGGCGTACAGTGCAAGAACTAAAACTTAATTCAATTGCTTAAAAAAGGCTGTTAATGTTTCATATTTTACGCCATCTATGATTAAAAAATGTGCTTACTAAATATCTTGAACACTAATTTACGACATCTATATTTAGAAAATCACAACTGAGTAAGTGTGCAATAAAAGTACAGCCTTAAAGTATGCTATGTTTGTTTAATCTTAATTTTTCTCAACAAAATTTGACATATAGATGACGCTTATTTTATTCGTAAATAAACCTAAATTTAATATTATCAGTGTTGCCAGAAAATTTTTCACCCACAGTGTTGCCAGAAAATTTTGACTTATGTCCCCAATCTTAGGCTGAAAGTCATGAAAAAATCCCCATTTTTAAATTTAAATACCACATTGTTTGCAAAACAAACAAAAAATATTTTTTTTAATATTTCTTGTAACTGACTGTAATTGGTGAATTTTTTAAATTGTAGAAATATTGTTCAAATTTAATTTTATATTTTTTTGGTTAAAAAATTGTGTTTTTTAGTAGTACATCAATGGCGCTTGGTATCAATATTGCCTTATTTATGTATATCATTTAAGTACAAGAATGTTAAAGTGAATAATGAAAAGGACTTAGCAATATGCGCCGATCTTTCACTTAGTTTTATCTATTTTTAAAAATTTTTAAAAATGTCTACTATTTTCGATGTGACAGGGATTTCTTGTTTTAAAAATTAATACTAAAAATCATGTCTTTACGAATATTGATATGTACATAAGTAAAAATTTTATTGAAAAACAAAGTAACCTTTTCTATCAAAATCTGGTTTCATTTAAAATCCCCAAAAAAGTTATGCGGTTAAATGTAACATTTAACATAATATACTGATGCTTCCGCCGAAAATAAATATTTAGTTCATTCTAAAATACCAAAGACGAAGCCTATTGAAAATGGTTAAAAGGCCCATTATTTCACCTCGACTCCTTACAACTGAACCCCCCTAATAGGGCTTTCGAGCTCATAATTATGTTAAATATATTTGTATTTCGAAGGCACAACTAAGTTTTATACAAGCCTTATTGATCTTGATGAATTCTGTTACGATCGGGCCTCATTTGACACAAGCTTTAACACAAAGCGTCCTTCAAAAAATTACTTTAATGTCCACAATTCACTTATAAACACTGATATCGCGAAGAAATTCATCACAAATACATTTTATTTAAGCATAATCCACAAAATGTTATGGAGATCGGTCCATATTTCACCCTAGCTCCCATATAAAGCCTCTTACAGAAAATTTGTTTTTCGCCAATTAATTGCTGAAATATATGTATGTATATTGGAACCAAAGTAAAATTCAACATAAATAAATGCTTTATCACATTTTTTTTTATTCATAACTATTGTAGGGTATCATATGGTCGACTATGCCCGACTTTACTTTCTTAAGCTGCCTACACACTATGAGAGAAGTCGTTAGATTTTTATTTCATACTGACAAAACAAAATAAAATGAAAATTGGTATGATTATCTGCAGTCTGGTCTATAGTCTAGTTTAAAGTGTAATCAATAGTCTGGTACAGTGAAATAGCTCCCAAACGAAATAACTCCCCATGAAGAAAATGAAATAACTTCCAATTGTTCCAAAAATTTACTTTACAATTGAAATAGTAAAGTTTTGGAATTTAAAATATTTAAGTCCCAAAAATTGCGAAATAGCGCCCAATGAAACAAATCCCAAAAAATATGATATAATTTAAAAAACGATGAATTCATTTGTGCAAAATAATTTATTATGAAATAATTCCCATCAGGAATGAAATAACTTCCAAATAACTTCCAGCTATTTCACTGTACTCAATAATCTAGCCAGAAGTTTAGTCTAAAGGCTAGTCTATAATGAAGTATATAGTCAAGTCTATAGTTCAGTCTATAGTCTAGTCAATAGTCTATAGTCATAGTCTATAGTCTAGTATATAGCCTAGTCTATAGTCTAGTCTATAGCCTAGTCTATAGTATAGTCTTACAAAATATAATATTACGAAATTTTAATTTTTCATGACAACAGCTTTCGATGAGTTGACAATCTATGGCCTAGTAAGTTTCGAGCCGTTCCGCATTGAAGATCCATTTGTTGCGGGAGCGACACGTTTTGTTGTAACAGATTGGCTGTGACTGGATGTTCTTTCCTGAAAATATTAAATAAAATTAATTAATATTGGTGTCATAAGATGTTATTGGAAGCTGGAGAAATTGTGCCACCTCAGTCGGTCTAACCCATAGGTCTATGGGAGTTAAGTTTGTGGGCCTATGGGGACAGTTAAAAAGATGCACTGTGTCATGAAGGCTTTGGAGACAGGCAGGGAATCGGTTGAGAGTGCCTGGAACAATTCGTTTTTGGTAGCAATGGCGAATAGTGCTCCAACCGGCAGTTGACTGTGCGACTGTAGAACGAGTTTGCCTGGGTAATTGCCTCTCACTATCCGAAATCGCAGGTGGATGTTGATTTGATCGGTCGATTATGTATGGCAACCGAACTTCAGTTGAGTTGCCAGCTTCAAAATAAGAGAATGATTTCAGTCTAGAAATGGTTTAAGTCAAACAAAAACTCATTGGACGAAGTTTATTAATGAATATAATATTCATTATTTATAAAGTTTACAAGCTATTGCTTAAAAAACGTTCACTATCCACTATGTGTCGAGAGGGATCTTCCATTAAAATTTAATGGATGGGATGGCTGATGACATGCCACAAGGAATTGTCTAGCGAGCAACACAATATGTTGCTTGACAGACAGCATCCTGGTGTAAGTGATCCACGTTTGTCATCTTGACACATCCGGTTGCGATTCGGAGTGCATTATTTTGGAATGTCTGCAATACTCGCCATTGTGTGTCACTGTGATAAGGGGTCCATATTGGGGCGTACGGAGAGAAGTGAAGGAGGCTGTCGAAGACTACTTCTAAAATTTTCGGGTTCTGAACCGTAGGGATACGTCTGCCTTCGCCTGATATGTTGAGTTCCATTCTTACTTCCTTAGTCCAAGAAGTGAATAGTTACACTGTTAATTTATAAGTTGATAACTGTAATTTGCGTTCCTGAAAATGGTATACAATGGTGGCTATGTATTGGGATATTTTGGGACTTATGTCGTCAATGTTAACGCCAGATGAGAATACAGTATAATCATCTGTATATGACACCTTGAGGTGGTTTAGGAAGCGAGCCAAGATAAATGTTGAAGAATATAGGTGATATCACTCCTCCTTGTGGCACGCCCATTTTTATCTTGCGGTAGCTGGACTTCAGGCCTCTGAACTCAACAAACGCTTGTCTGCACAGAGATAATTGGCAATCCAGCCAATTATCTCTCTAATCAATCTATAATGAGTTTTGAGTTATTCAAAACTTAATTTTAAAAATTTTAAATTTTGTTATCTTTTTGTATTAATTTAAACTTATTTTAGGCGTTATTTTACCTGTCCATTAGGAAACTTTGATATTTGAGACCTTTTTATCTGTCTGAAATCTTAAAACTTAAATGCATAATTTTCTAGTTTTTGTTAAAAATGGTATATCCTTATGTGAAACTACTCGCTAAACACGAATTCGCTGATGATTTTTCCAACAAATTTACCGAAGTCTCAAAAAAATCAGAAAAAGTAATAAAAAGCACGATTTTTAATATAAAAAAAAATTATTTTCACAGAATTGCTGAAGTGAAAATTCTTTTCGCTTCAATAATTTCAGTAATAAACTCTATAGGTCTTATTCATAAACATTTATTAAAGATTTATAGAACAAATTTTGTATGAAAATTTGATTTATAAACCTTTGGTAAAAGTTTATGAATAAGGTAGTATGTATATAACTGTAAAACAGGAACCAGTTGTTAAAAATTTAATAATGATCAAAAGAAAACTATCCAATTGTGTTTTTTATCGGAGTTTCAGTTTTCATTTTATTTAATATTTTTTATTTTTTCATACATAACTTAACATAGAATTTGAAATTTACAATATTAAATATTGAATTTGTTTTTATTACATCATCTTTTTTTAAATTTTGTTAATATTGTTTGCTATTTTGTTTGTTTGCTTGCTGGCTTACTTGCTTGTGCTAGTATGCACATGTACATACATACAATACAATTTCAATTATTTTATCTCTTCTTCATACAATCGTATTTAAATATTTACTTAATTTTTGTTTTAATTTCTAATACCGTCTCTTATGAAGGTGTTAGAATATGTATTTTGCATTTTTTCCTTTTGTTTCAGAATATATAAGTAAATAAATATATTTAACGTATCTTTTGATCTTTTGTATGCTTTATATATGCATGTACCACTATATGTATGTATATTTGTTGAATTTTATCGGTCGGTCTGTAGTTTGTATGTATGTATATGTAGAAGTATGTGCAATAAGTATTTGTATTATTAAATGCGATTTTTTTTATTTGTTTATTTTTTTTTTAATTTTTGTTCATGTACCTAATAGACTTTTACAAAATTAAACAAATTTAAATGGAAATATGGAGAATAGATAAATAAAATAGGAGAGGGGGATCTGGTGTAAATTAATAAATATAAAATAAATAACTAATGGTATTAGTGTACGTATGTTTCAACATACATACATATACACAATTAAAAAAATAATAAGATCTATTGATAATCAATCAATCAATGAATCAAGACATAGTACATATAGATACAAAATAATTGTAATATGGAGAAGGAAAAACAATTACACTCACATAGATAGAATAAACTAAAAACAAAAACAAAAAAAGGAATTTTCTCAACTGATCATGAGGAAACAAGCTGCTCAATGTGTAGTAGAGTGTAGGTGAATACATATACTGGTCTATATATGAATTTCTACTACATACAATATATATTTAATTGAATTTAGAGTTTTATTTTTCGTTTTTAGTTCTTTTTTTTTTTTGTTATTTTTTTGAGTTGTTATTGTTGCAATTGCTAGAGTCGCATAAATAATCATCGCAAAATAGTATACATATAAATAATAATAAATATGCTTAGTAAAAAATATATGTATGTATAATATATATTATGATTAACATATAAGTTGGTTTGTTTGTTTGTTTTCCTATACATAAACAAATAGGCATGCCAAGGAGGATTAGAAGGATGTGGAGCAACCTGCACATTCATGCTTCGTTTTAATTATATATGTCTGTATATGTTCATCTTCATTTGTCTCTTATTTATCATCCAAAAATAACATAATAATAATAATTATCTCCTTATTATAACTGCCTCAAACTTAATTTGTTGTCCGACTTTGTTCGTTCATTGAACAACACAACAGCCCTTTTTCTTGTTTTTCTTTTCGTCTATGACAACATGACTAGCCGATGTAGGTCCAGGTACCACTTGCTTTGAGACTTGAGCTGATGATGTAACACCTTTATTTTCTGCTGGCTTTACAGCTCCACCACCAGTTGTTGCCGTAGATGTTGGTATCCTGTGTGTACCATTCGTTCCATTTTGTGCGGACTGATTTGGGGATACCTTCGAAAAGAAATTAACAATAAATTATAAATGAACTATGAATATAGATATTTAATTTTTTTAATTCCACTTACATTCGATTTTGTTATATCTTCTGTTACCACTGTTCCATTGCCAGCCGTACCATTAGTCTGTGACTTTCCATTGCCTATCGCATGTTCTTCTGTTGGTGTTATGGGTTTACCACCTAAAAAAATATTGATGTATTAAAAATGTAAAATGTAAAAAAAATAAAATGTAAAAATTAACGTTAACGTTGTCTAAAGTCTTTCTAAAACCATAACTTTAAAATGGATTCTATTAAATAAACCTGAACAAACATTGCAAACTTTGTAATCTACTAATCTTCTATTTGTCATTGGTACTATGTTCTCTTTGTTTGTGCACATATGCGACACCGGTGTCCCAAAATGTTTTTAGGGACGGCACATCCCTGCTTATGCTAAAACACCTTGACAAGCAGGTTGTCGACAATAGTTTTTAACAACTAAACTGGAAAAAGGGTAGATTGAACCGGATAATTAAACGAGAGAAGGATATGGGAGATGGATAATACTATAGGCGGATATCCCTCCAGTAACCTGTAGTGAAGACTTTCTTCGCACTCCAGCAATTCGCCACCCAGAGGTATTACGAGAAATGCTCAGTACCACCACAAAAACAAACAGATGTCACAGGTCTTAAAACAACAGAGGCCTTAAAAAGATCAATGCTGTCATGAAAGTTAGCCACACCACTCTCTACTAGGACATCCTGCAGTCCAAAGTGGCCAACAATTTATAGAGATAGATAATGAATTATGTAATTGAGTAGCCGTTAATCGTTAGTACAGTTAGGAAAAAAATTATCAAAATCCCATATGAGGTTAGTTCAGGTTAAGAAGAATTATGCACATATTCTCGCAGACATGAGTCCATTGTTATACCCTTCGTAAGAAGTGAATATCCAAAAATAGAGAATAAAATTATAGAAAACAAAAAGAATATAAAGAAAAGGGAGAACGAACCTCCACAAGAAGTGAAAGGGATCTTTGGAACCCTTGTCGGCTACCTACAAGACAATTGTCAATTGTGGGCTGTAACTTGCAAATATCTTCTGAGTACAATCTAAAAGAGAAATCGAAGGTTCGCCCAGGTAAAGAACATAATAAAATGCTGACTAAACATTTCCTTCTGTTGTGTTCCAACAGTATATTGTTTTCTTGTTGTTGTAACAATTCGATTGTGGGCAAAAGTTCTGGAGAATAAACTTTCGGTTGATACAACCTGTCGCTGGGTTGACAATCTTTGGGCGAATATGACTCGAGTCGGTCCCGTGAAAACGAAAAGTATGCTGACTAAACATTTCGTTCTGGGATGTTCTAACAGTATATTGTTTTTTGTTGTTGTAACTGTTCGACTTTGGTCAATAGTTCTTTCCTGGGGAAAAAAACTTTCGGTTGATACAGCTATCCGAGAAAACGGAAGTTGGCTCAGTTGAAGAACATAATGAAATGCTGAATAAACATTTTCTTCCGAGATGTTCCAACAGTATATTGCTTTGTTGTTGTAACAGTTCGGAACGCGTCGTTCCGGAGCGAAGAACCAATTTTGGCGTGGACGAGTATATTGCTTAAGAGTTGCATGCTTCCCTAGGCATGTCGGAAAGGAATCGCTTAAATCATACATTCGTCATAAATACCGAAACATTTCAATAAAAACAATAATCGAGGAAAACAATGGGTCGGTGTGGAGCCTATTGGTCCCGCATAAAACCTGCAGTTCCTAATATATACTACGCATGTGACATACTACTTCAATAAGGTCAATGAATTTATTAACTAATTTTCTTACACGTCTTAAGATAACTTATTGTTATTTACTAACCACTTATCATTTTAACAATTTCATCAGCCTCTCTAGATAAATCGCCACCAGGGCGAAAGGGATTATCCCAACCGGAATCAGTACTGTAATTAATAGAAAATATAAAATATTAAATATTCTATTATATGGACTAATTTGAGTGTTAGCACAAACCTTTGTTGCCTGTCATAGCCAGGTATTGGTGATGCTGTCGTCATGATGTCTTCTAAATTACAGTTATAGTTACTTAATGAATTATCTAAATTATCTTCAAATTTCGTAAAATATTCGGGAGGGCAAATTTGTTGTGGTTGACTACTTTGGTATATTGATACACGTACTATAGAGCGTTCCGATCTGGAAAACGAAAAAAAAAATATAAACAATAAGATAAATAAAATTTTTTCTTTTTCATTTATAACTAGAAAGCAATGAGTAATTTGTGCCAATTCTAATCTTAAAATTGCAAATCAAATCAAAATTAACATATTAATGTCTTGATATGTATTAAATTCATGTTTTCTGATTTTGACAGTGGGAACCGAATACAATTAACACGAATGTCAACAAAATAGCAATTACTTGTTGAGTACCTAACTGCGCCGGTAACTGGTGTTTTTAACTTTTAATTAAAATTTAAGATCATAATTTGCTTCCATTCCAGAAAGAAATACTTTTGATTTTATTCCTGTTTTTCGTTAAATAAAATTTATACGCATTAATTAAAACTTTTTATAGAATAAAACAAAAAAATTTCAAGTACTTATTATAATTTTCAATTTCAAGAAGCTTTTAAACAGAAAAACACAAATACACAAAAATCTCTAACCGCCTAAAGGAGAACTGTTCTTGGCATGGAGTAGGAATGTAATAATTTTTTTTTATTTCAAAGCCAATTTTATATACAAAACAAACAACAATTATACAAACGTATAAATTGTTGTCGTTATAAATTGTATGATTGCAAATAAATTACCCACTGGGTTGATTCAACTGCCAAAGGATTTAGCAATTATAGAGCAGTGGCATTGAATCTACTTGCATTTCCTTGATAGCCTTCCAAATCAGCTTCCAAGTGTGCTTTAGTTGTTGGTATTCTCACTATGTATTCATTTACAATATATTGTATGTTGTTAACCTTGAAATACCTGATTTGGCGTATGAATCTGTGTCAAGTGAAACCAAATAAGGACATTACATTGAATAGTCTCTTTTACACAAGGACGCATTCAATTGTGCAAAATCTTCCATATACTAAATAATTCCCAATTGCACTTTTTTTTGCAAATTAATTGTTGAAATCGTAATGAGGCAAAATATATAAATATAATTTTAAAGCGGCATTTATTTGGAGATTTCTAATAGCGTAACTTGTTATGTTTATAGAAACGTTTGCTGATAATCGTTTATTTTAATGGAAACTACAAAAACAAAAAATTGCATAACTAAAAATTCAGGTAAAAATAATCAAAACACCAGCAGCGCAACAGAAATATGGAGGAGAGTTTATTGACAATTAACCGAGTGGGAAGTGAGAAGGTGAGAGCAGCAGTAAACGAAATGAAAATATTTAGTATATTTATTTAACATTTTAAACAAATAGCGTCATCCATTGGGGAATGGGGAAAATACTTAATGCTCTATATTTTTTTGTATTTTAAAAATAGCCACATTTGTTGTTGTGTATTTATATTAAAATATTTAGTGAAATAAAAATAAATACATTTGATTTTAGGATGACTAAGTTGTTTAAGAATTGATTTTGATGTGAAACTTTAGAAAAATCCTTTTATTAGTTCGTTAATTATTTTTTTGTCTGTTTGTTAAAGGCCAATATCTTAATATCAATCTGTTTATGTAAACTTTTAGAAAGAAATTTAATTTTCCCGTTTTCACCCAGAAACAGACTTCATTGTGAACAAAATTTTTAAAAAGGGAATTAAAAATACCCTTTTCTTGTATCACTAATAGTCAGTAAGAAAATTAAGAAAACCGGATAGTTTTTCATGTAAATATTCGAAATTCCAAAAATTCATCCTTAATAGATGTATGTACTACAGACTAAGACTAGACTATAGACTAGACTAGAATAGACTAGACTATAGACTAGACTATAGACTAGACTATAGACTAGACTAGACTAGACTAGACTATAGACTAGACTATAGACTAGACTATAGACTAGACTATAGACTAGACTATAGACTAGACTAGACTAGACTATAGACTAGACTATAGACTAGACTATAGACTAGACTATAGACTAGACTATAGACTAGACTATAGACTAGACTATAGACTAGACTATAGACTAGACTATAGACTAAACTATAGACTAGACTATAGACTAAACTATAGACTAGACTATAGACTAGACTATAGACTAGACTATAGACTAGATTATAGACTAGACTATAGACTAGACTATAGACTAGACTATAGACTAGACTATAGACTAGACTATAGACTAGACTATAGACTAGACTATAGACTAGACTATAGACTAAAATATAGACTAGACTATAGACTAGACTATAGACTAAACTATAGACTAGACTATAGACTAGACTATAGACTAAACTATAGACTAGACTATAGACTAGACTATAGACTAGACTATAGATTAGACTATAGACTATTAAATGAAAAATTCACATAACATACATCAGGAAATGAAAAGCAATTCATCTTTTGAAGCCCTTTTTTGGAAAGAATGGTTTTTCTACTTCAAGGGAAATGAACCCTGAAAACTAGACTATAGACTATACTATAGACTAGACTATAGACTATACTATAGACTATACTATAGACTAGACTATAGACTATACTATAGACTATACTATAGACTATACTATAGACTAGACTATAGACTAGACTATATGTTAATTTGGTACAATCGGTAAATGTTCAAAATTTCGAGTTCGAGATACATCAAAAGATATTTTTAAATATTTCCCTATTTTGCTTGGTGATCGTGGTAGTTCATTGCGCAAATTTGCAAAATTACAAATTTATCATTGTAAAGCTGTGTAAGTATACAAATCTGGCAGCACCACTTGAGCGTATTTGAAATAATTGAATAATTTTGAACAAGTGCTTGTGTACTTAAAAAATACTACATAGTATTTGTATACAAAACGCAATAAATAAATATCTACATTTTATTTATTCCTCAAAAAAAAAATGACGATGACGATATTCTAGCACATTATTATAAGTGTAAACTAATTCAGATTGTTTAAAAATAAAAATAAAACATTAACAGTTGAAAAGTAATATTTACTACTTTTTATTTTTATTATAAACAGCGGTTTTGTTTGAAATACTTTATTAAATATTTACTTTATTTTTTAGTTGTACAAAAATTTAACGATGGAATAACAAATATTAAAATATAAACGTCATGCTTGAATCATGATTTAAGTGAATAAATACTTAATTGTCATTTTAATTTAAATTGGACAATACAATAATTTGGTTAAATTAAAAATGCGCATATTTCTATAAAATACGAAGAGCAAATTTTTACTTGATACAAACAAGTGAATATAGAAATTTATTTAATAAAAATCGAAGGCCGACACTTGTGAAAAGTATTACAAAAATGCCACGCCCTTTAGCCTGTGACTTGATTTAATTGCGAAAAATACTTAAGCATGAACAAAACCAATATAAATGATGACTATAGTATGAATAAATTTGTTGGGATAGGGGTTGCTTTATTGGATAGTTGGATGGATGTATAATGATTCGTATGTTGGTGGGCTCTTTGCTTTAGTTGGGTTTGATTATTTTTTTGTTAAGCAAGATATAGTAGCCAACTAACTCACCAGCAAAGAGGGTGTAGTTTGTGGTGCCAGTCGTTGGTGGGGTTGAAGGAGGGAAACAAACAAACAAATAAAAAAATGTGAAATATTCACACACTGATCTACTTTACTACAGCAACTACAATAGCAACAGCAATAATAACGAAAAATAATAACAAGACAAGTGAAAAACAAAAACAACTATTAAAATAAAAAAAAAAAACACTGAATGAATAAATGGGTGAATGAGTAAATGAGCGAATGAATATAAAGAATATAATGTAGGAAAATATTTCTGAAAATATGTATTGAAAGGGAAACACGTATGAATACTTGTGCAATACAATACAATCATCTATCCAGCCAGCCAGCCATTCCAACCCATCCCATCCAACCCTTCATACCAAAAAAATTTGTTATAATTTAAGCATTATTTTCGTGCTTCTTCTTCTTGTATTTGTTTTGTTAGCAGTAGCATGCAACATTATTTTGACACAGACTTTAATGGATAGTTTTCAGTAAGTTTTATTTTGGTGTTTTTATTTTTATTTATTTTTTTTTCTTCTTAAATTTTTATGTTTATTTTTGGAGTGGCACACTATAGTATCTATTGGATATGCTTTTAGAACTTTAGTGTATTTTTGTCCTCTTTCTCTCTCTTTAAATGCTCTCACACACAATCAACCAAATCTATGTGGACAACTGTTATACGTGTGACAAAAGCACGCATTACGGAGTTTGCTCACAACAACAAAACCAACAAAAAAAGAGTCAACAAATGTAAACATGGAGAAGTGTGAAAATAACACTGCATGAAAATAATATATGGAAGAAAAATTCATTATACAGTATATCACAAAATAGTTATCTCTATGCAAATTTTTATACAATTTTATGTTCCTAGCCATATTTAAAAACGACTACGACAACACCCACTTTCAATAATGATGCGTCATTTTGTTTTTAAGACATGGAAATATCCGTCATAGACCCATATTTGTATATTTTGGGTCTCTTTATATTATAAGACGAACTAGCCATGTCCGCCTATCTGTCTGTTAAACGCACATTACGTATTGACGTAATGAAAAAAAGCTTTAATATTCTGTTAATTGTAAAATCGGACATCATTTGGCCCCCATATAAGGTCCACTTCAGTTGATTAAATCAGTCAATAGAAAGCCATGTCCGCCTGTCAGTCTGTTGAATGCACACTAGGTCACATACTGGAGAAATTCGAATTTTCTATTTGCTTTATTGTCGTTTATTTCGTAATAAAAATAGACTTGCTCCCACTGAGGGGACTTATCGTTAACCTTTCGTTTAGATAACGATTTTATTCTGATAAAGGTTTGGCAAGGGTCCAGCAGCGATCCGTTCGTCCGTTTGGTTAAGTTGTGCTCTTAGTCCTATATGTCCATTCAGGACCTATATGTCCAGTTAGGACTCGGACTTGCTCCCACTGAGGGGACTTATCGTTAACCTTTCGTTTAGATAACGATTTTATTCTGATAAAGGTTTGGCAAGGGTCCAGCAGCGATCCGTTCGTCC